ATCTCTTAAATGTTGCTATTGTGTTTGTTTCTACCACCTCCCCGGCAGTAAATTCCAGACACCTACCACCCTCTGTGTAAAACACTTGCCTCGCACATCTCCTTTCAACTTTCCCCCTTTCATCTTAAACCTATGTGCCCCCTCTCCCCCACACCCACCTAGTATTTGACATTTCCACCCCGGGAAAAAGGCTGACTATCCACCCTATCCATGCCACTCATAATTTTATATATTTCTATCAGATCACACCCTCAGCCTCCGACGCTCTAGCGAAAACAATCCATGTTTGTCCAATCTCTCATTGAGTTAAAGAGTAATACAGCATGGAAACAGGTCCTTCGGCCCAAACTGGTCCATGCTGACCACGACACCCACTCAGCTAGTTCCAATTGCCTGCATTTGGTCCATATCCCTCTAAACACTTCTCATCCATGTACCTATCCAAATGCCTACTTATAGCTAACACACTCCCATCCAGGCACCATCCTGGTAAACATCTTTTTCACCCTCTCCAAAGCCTCCACATCCTTCCTATAGTGTGGGGACCAGAATTGCACACAATAATCCAAATGGGGCCTAACTGAAGTTTTATACAGCTGCAACATGATTTGCCAACTATTATACTCAGTGCCCTGACTGATGAAGGGAAGCATGCTGTATGCCTTCTTTACCATCCTATCCACTTGTGTTGCCCCTTTCAGGGAGCTATGGACTTGTACCCCAAGATCCGTCTGTACATCAATGCTCCAAAGGGCCCCTACCATTTACTTTCCTCTTTGACTTCCCAAGATGCATCACCTCACACTTTTCTGCCATCTGACTTTCTCTGACCAACCATATCTATATCCTTCTGGATCATTTTGCAATCTTCCTCACTATCCAGAATTCCGTCCATTTTTGAGTCTGCAAACTTACTAATCAGACCACCTACATTTTCATCCAAATCATTTATCGATATTACAGACAACAGGGTTCCCAGCACTGATCCTTGTGGAACACCACTGCTCACAGACCTCCAGTCAGAAAAAAACATCCCTCCACAAATACTGTGTCTTCTATGACCAAGACAATTTTGTATCCAACTTACCAACTGACTTAATCTTCTGACCTAGCCTACCATGAAGGACCTTGTCAAAGTCCATGTTGACAACGTCCGCTGTCCTGCCCTTATCGACCATCTTCGTCACTTGCTGAAAAAACTTAATCAAATTTGTGAGACAAGAGAAAGCCAAAGCATTGGCTCTGCTGACTATCCTTAATAAGTCCATTCTTTTCCAAATGCAAGTAAACCCTGTCGCTAAGAATCTTTTCCAATAATTTCCCTACCACTGATGTAAGGCTCACCAACCTATCATTTCCTGGATTATCCCTGTCACCCTTCTTAAACAAAGAAACAACATAGTCTATTCTCTAGTCTTCTGGGACCTTGCTTGTGGCTAAAGACATTGAAAGATCTCTGTCAAGGCCCTAGCAATCTCCTCTTTTGCCTCCCTCAGTAACCTGGGATAGATCCCATCAGGTCCTGGGGACTTATCTACCTCAATGATTCTCAAGACACTCACTCAACAACTCCTTCTTAATATTGACTTGCCCTAGACTATTAACATACCCCCTCCCTAACCTGACCATCATCCGTGTCCTTCTTCTTGGTGAATGCTGATGCAAAGTACTCATTAAGCACCTCACCCACTTCCTCCAGCTTCACACATAAATTCCCTCCCTTGTCCTTCAGTGGACCTGTCCTTTCCGTAGCTACCCTCTTGCTGCTAATATACAGATAAAATGCCTTGGGATTTTCCTTAACCCCACTTGCCAAGGACATTTCACGGCCCCTCCTAATTCCTTGTTTAAGTTCTTTCCTGCTTCCTTTATATTCCTTAAGGGCCTTGTCTGATTTCAGTTTCCTAAATCTTACATCTGCTTTCTTTTTCTCAACTTGCAATATCTCTTGTCATCTAGGGTTCCCGAATCTTGCCACCCTTATCTTTTGTCCTCACAGGAACATGCTGGTCCTGAACCCTGATCATCCGGCCTGTCATAGACTCTCACACGTCAGGTGTGGATTTACCCTCAAACAGCCACCTCCAGTCTGATATCTCCAGTTCCTGCCTAATATTGTTGTAATTAGACATCCCCCCCCCAATTTAGCACTTTCATCCCAGGACCAGTCTTATCCATAACAATCATAAAACTTGTGGAATTATGATCACTGTTTCCAAAAGGCTCCCCAGAAATTTCGATCACCTGACAGAAAGTCGAGTTCAGTCCCTTCTATTGACATATTATTTCAAGAAACCCTGCTGGGTGCATCTAACAAATTCTACCCCATCCAAGTCCCTGGCAATAAGGGAGTCCCAGTCAATATTGACACTAAAATTACCCATTACATCTTTCCCTGATTTGCATACATATCTGTTCCTGCATCTGCTCGTTATTGGGAGGCCTATGGTATAACCCCATCATGTGAGTACACCTTTCTCATCCCTGGGTTTCACCCATAAATCCTTGCTGGATGAGCCCTCCAAGTTGATCTCTCTTTGTACAGCTGTGACATTCCTTTTAATCAGTAATGCAACTCCTCCCCCCACCCCTTTTACATCCTTCTCATAGGATCAGATTCCCTACCATGTGGGAGCAGGCCATTCGGCCCATTGAGTCCACAAGGACGCTGTGAAGAGCATCCCACCCAGGCCCATCCCCTGCCTTACAACTCTGCAGCACGGTGGCTCAGCGGTTAGCACTGCTGCCTCACAGCGCCAGGGATCCTGGTTCAATTCCAGCCCCGTGTCTGTGTGGGTTTCCTCCCACAGTCCAAAGATGTGCAGGTTAGGGTGGATTGGCCATGGGAAATTGCCCGTAGTGCCCAGGGATGTTTAGGTTAGGGTGGGTTAGCCATGGGGAAATGCCGGGGTAGGGGTATGAGTTGGGGCGGGATGCTCTTCAGAGGGGTTGGTGTGGACTTGTTGAGCTGGATGGCCTGTTTCCATATTGTAGGGATTCTATGGTTCTATGATTTCCCATGGCCAATCCACCCTAGCCTGCACATCTTTGGACTGTAGGAGGAAACCCAAGCAGACACAGGGAGAACATGCAAACTCCGCACAGGCAGTCGCCCAAGGGTGGAATTGAACCTGTGTCCCTGGCGCCGTGAGGCAACAGTGCTAAACACGCCTGAAACATCTAAACCCTGGCATGTTGAGCTCCGCTTCAGTGCACCAAATTTCTGGAGCGGCTACAATATTGTAGAGCCATGTACTAATCCAGGCTCTAAGCTCATTTGCCCCACCTGTAATAGTCCTTGCATTAAAATAAATATACTTAAGACCGTCAGTCCCACTGTGTTCATTAACCTGGCCCGGCCTGTTCATCCTATTGGTCTGACTTGCCTGAAACCTCTACCTCCTCCTCAAACAGTCCACATGTGAGCCTACCGTTCTGGCTCCCCCCTTCGCTGTACTACACAAATTTAAACCCTCCTGAGTGGCACTAGCAGGCCCCCCTGCCGGGATATTGGTGCTCCCATACCAATATCACTACAGCAGGAACCCAAAAGCTCAGATTTCTGAGGGACGTGGATTCGAAACTCACTTCAGTGGGGCTTGAAATCAACGAATAAAATCCGGAGTTAGAAAGCAGCTTGTGTCTACAAAACTGTCACCAATTCTGATTCGCCAATGCCTTTAGGGGAAGTGTACATGCCACCCTTACCCGGTCTGGCCTACATGTGACTCCAGACCCGCAGCAACGGGGTTGACCCTAAAATGCCCCTCTGGTCAAGGGGCACTGTGGGCAAATGCTGACATTGCCATGTCACATGGAAGTTAGATTTTATCGTGAGGCATACTCAAGTACAGGAGGATGGTGAGAAGTGTCTAATGTCACACACATGGCACCATTTTGGGTACAAATGTACAGAAATACCCCAGGTAAAAAACCAGTAAAGGAAACAGAGTTAAGAATTTATGCATTGCCTTTGTGGAGATAAGTAGAAAAATAAAGAAATAAGGTAATGGTTAGCATTGGAGTCCTTCTTAATATAAACTAGAAAAATACAGGAATAAAAGTTCAAAAGTCTTTGGTGAGACCTATATGGGCATATTCCCTGTCCCACCTGATCAGCGGGTATTAACCTGCAACCTCAGCTCTGCCAGACCCATTTTAAAGCAGCTCACTTGGACTTGGACTGAGACTCTCCTTCCTTCAATTATTCATCACGGGAGACATCAGCGCCCTGTGCTCCACACCACTGCCGCAGACACCAGGATACCCCCCTCACCGCTCGCTCTTCCCCCGTTAAGGCTCAGCCCCAGTGCCATCCCCACAGCCACCGCCCTCGCCTCCAATCTCATCCCGTTTGCAAAGCACCTGGATTTTACTGGTTAACAGGCACAAAAGGGGGACGTTGCTGCGAGGCGGGCACAGGAGGCCAGGAGAAAGAGAGGGATGAAAAAAGCGACAGAGAGGCGAGAAACGACCCGTGGAATAGGTGCTGAAGACGGGGCTGAGCTTCCTGAGTTGCAGCTGGAGTGAACGGCAGGGTATTGAAGGAGGAGAGGCGAATAAAGTGTGGAGCTTTAATGGGGCGTAGCAGGGGTAATGACAGATGGATGAGACGCTCATTAGGGCCAAATTTGGACAACGGGCCACTGAATGCAGCTGTAATCAGAGATATACCCTCTGCCTCCAGGACATTCTTAAAGACCGCTGGAGGGAGACGGAGCAGGAATTGATGGCTCACTCTCCAAGAGTGCCTGTTCTTTCAGTTACACACAGCGTGTGAGCTGCTGTGAGTAAACAGACGGCCGTGATGAATAATTGAAGGAAGGAGAGTCTCAGTCCAAGTCCAAGTGAGCTGCTTTAAAATGGGTCTGGCAGAGCTGAGGTTGCAGGTTAATACCCGCTGATCAGGTGGGACAGGGAATATGCCCATCACGCAGTGTGTGTTACACACACACACACACACACACACACAGGGTGACACAGCCTGTGACTGAGCCAGAGAAGAAATGTGCCCACCTTCAGGATGGCCGAGCTGGACACAGAGGGTAATCACCCCCAGGGGCCTGGAGATCAGGTCCCAGGCTTGTGTCGCAAAACGCTTCAGGAATTAATGTTTAAGCTGCCAGGATTTTGCTGTTTCCAGGAGAGAGAGAGTGACAGAGAGGGAGAAAGAGAGAGGGCAAGAGACCCATCATTGGGAACGTTAAGTGAATTGCGTTTGTTCTATATTTGCCAGAATGGTAAATGGCAAATAAATCCTGGCTCAGCTAGTGACACTTATAGCCCACAAGGGAATAAAAGAATGTGATAGGAACGGAAGGGACAGGGGAACGATTGTAAAATCACCAGCTCAGACAATGAAGAATTGGTTTTGTTGCTGATTGGTGAATGCACCGAGTGTTAATGGGATCCTGTTCTGAGGAAGGGTCACTGGACCCGAAACGTTAACTCTGTTTTCTCCTTCACAGATGCTGCCAGACCTGCTGAGCTTTTCCAGCAACTTTGTTTCTGTTCCTGTGAAAATGGGACTGGCTGATTTGGAAATATATTGCTGCTCCTACAAGTGTTGCAAATCTCAGAAGACGCTCCCTAATGGCACTGTGGGTTTACCTACAGCAGGGGGGCTGCAGGGGTTCAAGGAGGCAGCTCAACCCCAAGTTCTTAAGGGGCAGTTGGGGACAGGCAATAAATAATAGCCAAGACAGTGATGCCCACATCCCACAAGTGAACAAAAAAATGATTTGGGACTGAGTGTAAACAGCACCAGGGATAAAAGGGACTGGGTGTGGGTGGGACTGGGTGTGAGTGGAACTGGGTGTGAATGGGACTGGGTGTGAGTGGAACCGGGTGTGAATGGGACCGGGTGTGAATGGGACCGGGTGTGAATGGGAACGGGTGTGAGTGGGACCGGGTGTGACTGGGAGAGATTGTGAATGGGACCGGGTGTGAGTGGGACCGGGTGTGAGTGGGACCGGGTGTGAGTGGGATCGGGTGTGAGTGGGACCGAGTGTGAATGGGACCGGGTGTGAGTGATCAGGTGTGAGTGGGACCGGGTGTGAGTGGGACCGGGTGTGAGTGGGACCGGGTGTGAATGGGAGTGATTGTGAGTGGGACTGGGTGTGAGTGGGACTGGGTGTGAGTGGGACTGGGTGTGAATGGGACTGGGTGTAAGTGGGACCGGGTGTGAATGGGACCGGGTGTGAATGGGACCGGGTGTGAGTGGGACCGGGTGTGAGTGGGACCGGGTGTGAGTGGGACCGGGTGTGAGTGGGACCGGGTGTGAATGGGACCGGGTGTGAGTGATCAGGTGTGAGTGGGACCGGGTGTGAATGGGACCGGGTGTGAGTGGGACCGGGTGTGAATGGGAGTGATTGTGAGTGGGACCGGGTATGAGTGGGACCGGGTGTGAGTGGGACCGGGTGTGAATGGGACCGGGTGTAAGTGGGACTGGGTGTGAATGGGACTGGGTGTAAGTGGGACCGGGTGTGAATGGGACTGGGTGTGAGTGGGACCGGGTGTGAGTGGGACCGGGTGTGAGTGGGACTGGGTGTGAACGGGACCGGGTGTGAGTGGGACTGGGTGTGAGTGGATGCATGGGTGGTCATCTTCCAGGATTCTATAGACTATGGAGATTGGAGGATAGCTAATGTCACTCCATTATTCAAAAAGGTAGAGAGAATACAGGGAATTGTGGACCAGTAAGCCTAACATCAGTAGTAGAGAAAATTCAAGGACTTTATAGCAGAGCATTTAGAAAGCTGTGACAGAATCAGACAGAGTCAGCATGGATTTATGAAGGGGAAATCATGCTTGACAAATCTGTTGGAATTCTACGAAGATGTAACTAGTAGAGTTGACAAGGGGGAGCCAGTCAATGTGGTATATTTTGACTTTCAGAAAGTGTTTGACAAAGTCCCGCGTAAGAGATTATTGTGAAAGATGAAAGCACATGGGATTGGGGGAAGTGTATTGAGATGGATAGAAAACTGGTTGGCAGAGAGGAAACAAAGAGTAGGAATTAGTGGGTCCTTTTCAAATTCGCAAGCAGTAACTAGTGGGGTGCCACAGGGAATGGTGCTGGGACCCCAGCTATTCACAATACATATTAATGATTTGGATGAGGGAACACAATGTAATATCTCAAAGTTTGCAGATGATGCCAGGTTGGTTGGGAGGATGAACTGTGATGAGGATGCAGAGATCCTTCAGCATGATCTGGACAGGTTGGGTGAGTGGCCATATCAATGGCAGATGCAGTATAATTTGGATAAATGTGAGGTTATTCACTTTTGAAGCAAAAACAAGAAGGCAGATTACTACCTGAATGGCTGTAAATTGGGAGAAGGGAGTGTGCAGCGGGACCTGGGTGTCCTTGTGCACCAGTCGCTGAAGGTAAGCATGCAGGTGCAGCAGGTGGTAAAGAAGGTAAATGGTATGTTGGCCTTCATTGTGAGAGGTTTCGCGTACAGGAGCAGGGATGTGTTGTTGCAGTTATACAGGGCCTTGGTGAGACTATATATTGTGCGCAGTTTTGGTCTCCTTGTCTGAGGAAGGATGCACTTGCTCTCAAGGGAATGCAGCAAAGGTTTACCAGGCTGATTCTGGGGATGGTGGGTTTGATGTATGAGGAGAGATTGACCAGGCTGAGAACAAAAACAAAGTTGCTGGAAAAGCTCAGCAGGTCTGGCAGCATCTGTGAAGGAAAAAACAGAGTTAACGTTTCGGGTCTGGTGACCCTTCTTCAGCAGAACCCAAAACGTTAACTCTGTCTTTTCCTTCACAGATGCTACCAGACCTGCTGAGCTTCTCCAGCAACTTATGTTTTTGTTCCTGATTTACAGCATCCGCAGTTCTTTTGGATTTTATTTGACCAGGTTAGGATTATTTTCGCTGGAGTTCAGATGAATGAGGGGGGATCTCGTAGATTTCATATAAAGTTCTAACAGGACTCGACAGGGTGGATGCAGGAAGGATGTTCCCGATGGTGGGTGTGTCCAGAACCAGGGGTCACAGTCTGAGGGATAGATCCTTTAGGACGGAGATGAGGAGACATTTCTTCACCCAAAGAGTGGTGAACCCGTGGAATTCATTACCACAGGAAATAGTTGATGCCAAAACATTGAATGTATTCAGGAGGTGACTAGATATAGCACTTGGGATGAATGGGATTAAAGGTTATGGGGAGAAAGCAGGATTAGGCTACTGAGTTGGACGATCAGCCATGATCGTGAAGAATGGTGGAGCAGGCTCAAAGGGCCAAATGGCCTCCTCCTGCTCCTATCTTCTATGTTTCTATGGGACTGGGTGTGAGTGGGACCGGGTGTGAACGGGACCAGGTGTGA